AAAAAAAAAACAAAGACTGCAAAGTTTTTAGTCTACTGGATTAATTTAAGATGACGCAATTCAGCCATGAGCACCGATTTTTGTCGTTATCTTGTGAATATTGCTTCATTAATGACTGCATTCATGTTGTAACTGCAGCATGTAATGCACAGAGATTATGTTGGTTCTTCACGTATGTGATTATGTGCATATGTGTTTCTGCAATACACAGCAACAACACTGGGTAGTGTTATCAGCAACAGTAGCGAGGGCTAAGCCCCCCTAAGAATGCAATCCTATAACTGCACCTTTTGAAGATATAATTTGATTAATCGTGCTGCACTGTGTGCATGATTGTGTTTGTTTACTGACTGAATGTGACACTGTTTTTGTCTGTTGATTTCCACAGTCACCGACTGGACCAGGAACAACTTCCTACAATGTAAGTCACCAAGAAAAATTGACCATATAAGTGACGATTTGAATGATGACACAGATGCTCTCACTCACACTCACAGCTTTAGTGATTGTTATTGTGTTATAAATGTCTTGTGTTCAAATGCCTGTTTTTCTCACACTGGATCCAAACACAGCAAACACTCAACTCATTCTCAGAGGCGCAACTGCACATTTGCTGAGGGGTATGCAAGATCAGTGTTGGCGTATTCTAGCCCCTAACACTAACTCCCACAGAAAACTTTTTGTAAGTCAATGACCAAAAGACCATTAACTAGCTTGGGCATGGAAGGATACAAACTCATCAGGGGTGAAAAAAGTGACACCCCCCCTTTTTGTCTCGTCGTGCCGGGACAAGGCATCACAGTATGGTAAGGGGCGTAACATTTCCGTCACACGCTTGAGGTATTCGGCCAATCACAACGCACTGGATAGTTGGCCAATCACAGCACACCTCGCTTTTCAGACAGATGAGCTTTGTAAAAATCGACGCGTTTCAGAAAGGCGGGGCATAGAGGAGAAACAATAATGTACAGTATGTGGAAAATAATGTGTTTTTTGAACCTGAAACCGCATAAACACATTTCATTGCACCAAATACACAAAATAATGTTCTTTTTAGCAACATCATATGACCCCTTTAAAATAGCTTGAATACAACTCTACACCCTTGCCTCATTTAGTATACACTGATCTATGAATATGCAAATTAACCCCGCCTCCACTGCCAATGTCATTGTAACACTTTTTTTTTTGTAATTTTCTTCAAACACATGTAATATTGCTCACTTTTTAGTTAGGTAATTTCATCTGCATTTTTTCATTTGTACTTCTAGAGATAATTCATGGAAAATTTGCCATGCCTAAGTGGAAGATTTCTGCCACTTGGTAGAAATATAAATACTATTGAAATGAATGTCATGATATTCCCATTACAACCACTAGATAGCAGCAGAGGATGATTTTGGATTTATATTTATATTTATAAAATCACTATTATAACATTTAAAAATCACTTCTTTGTCAAAGAGTAAAAATATATATATATATATAAAAAAATAAAAAAAACCTTGTATCTACTTGAACTACACAAATGGCCTATTTTTAAATCAAAACCGCAATTTTCGGCG